CCGGAAAAAAAAGGGGAAAATAATTACTACCCTATTAATATATATTATTACTGATAATACTATTATATATATTTATATATCAAAATTATTGCACCAACTAATCATATAACCGAGAATACTGTACATGTAACTTTCCCCTTTTGGAATTGAACCCGAAATCAACAATTACAGAGAAGGCGGATGGCATTAATTCAAACTGCTGCACTTATGGGAATTCCAAAATCTGAATTTATGTTAACTGGTACGTTACAATTGTGGTTTATATTGGGAAAACAGATCATTGGCGACGGTCTCAAGCTTCTTACAGCAACTTCTTCACGGTGTGAGAGATTTGTTTTCATTTTCAACAGATTTCACTTGAAGAAACTACAAAAAATGAGTACAGGTATTATCTTCTAAACCCCTAATTCGTACTGAAATATTGCTATGGCGTGTAGTATGAATTTATGTTGATTTCCGTTTCTGAACCTCGTTATTCTTTCAACGGTAGCTTATGATTCGAGTCTCTTTCGAAATCCATCAAAATTTCACGATTTTCTATATACACCAGTCGATGTAACATTGAACCGTGTGTTTCCACTCATTAAAATTTTTTTGTGTTTAATTAGTAAATTACTGGTGATTTACAATCGACAAACATATATGATTTTCTAGTACAGTTTCACGAGTTTTTAGTTGTTATTGGAAATTTTCTTACGTTGTTGACACGTTTGATATCATGAATATGATTATTGAATGTGTTCGTGACATACAATGGAACAACGTTTGGACTTCTCATACCAAGTGGATGTACATATGATAAACTTATTGAGAAGATAGCTAGAGAGTTGAAAATCAACGTAAAGTCCCAGACGTTGAAAATTGAGTACAAAGCTGGTGGGAATATGGCTTCAATAAGAATATCAAATGACAACTCACTACTATTCTATTTGGAGTTGAAGAGAAAAGAACCCCAGTTAACGGCGTATGCACTGCATGTTGAAGTATTGGATACCACAGACCATGATGCAATTGTCTTAGAGAATGCCATGGACATTCCATGCTCATCAGTAAGTCCTTATTTGGGAATGTCAGAACCTAGAATAAGGCCAACAATGCATGAGTTTGCCACCACCATGGATATATCAAATCTGACCCTTGAAGAGTACGATGTTGAACGGGTGCATGTTTCAAGTTCTAAACCCAGTGTTGAACATGTTACAGAAGATCAGATTTTTGCGGACAAGAAGGTAATGATGACGACTATGGCATTATATGCCATACACAACAACTTCCAGTATAGGGTTCACAAGTCCGACCGTCGTGAATATGTTCTGAAGTGTCGATCAAAAGATTGCAAATGGAAATTTAGAGCTTCAAAAATGGGCAAAACAGATTCTTTCAAAGTTCGTTATATCCGTAATGTTCATACTTGCATGATGGACACAATTATTAGAGATCATCATCAGGCAAAAAGTTCGTTGATAGGTGAATTTATAAACCATAAGTACACATATGCGAGAACGATTTACACTCATGTTAACATTATGCATGATATGTCATCAACGTACGGGTTGACACTAAGATATGGTAAGTCCTGGAGAGCTCGGGAGCATGCATTGGAGTCGGTAATGGGTGATCCGAACATGTCTTATGGTAAGCTGGCAATTTATTTGAGCGAGCTTGAGCAAAAGAATGTGGGGACAAAAACAAGTATTGAAATTGACAACAATGGACATTTCAAATATGCTTTTATGTCATTGGGATCATCTATTGAAGCGTGGGAAAACTGTAAACCTGTGGTCGTTGTTGACGCTACATACTTGACTGGAAGATATGGGGGACATTATTCACTGCATGCGCACATGATGCGAATGATTCGATATATATACTTTCGTTTGGAGTTGGTGATTCTGAGAACAATAACTCTTGGACCTGGTTCCTTAGACGATTCAAAGATTCTTATGGAAAGAGAGATAATTTGTGTTTCGTATCAAATCATCATACAAGCATAGAACATGCTGTGGGCGAGGTTTACCAGGGTGTATCGCATGTATTCTGTGCACATCATATACTGCAAAATCTTAGGACAACCTATGGTAAATGCGGAAGCAAGATAACAAGGCCCTTCAATGCAGCAACTAGAGCATACACGAAGTAAGATTTTGAGTACCATATGAAACAGCTAGATCAAATTAATAAGTCCATCAAGAAAGATCTGGTACTTTTACTACCTTCTTCTTTTATTTTGCTAAATTTTATTAACTTATGATTGGATCAAACCAGTGTATATACTACTTCTTACACATGGTTTCATGTTCTGACAAATGCAAACCACCTCCGTAAAATATTTTCCCATTAGTTATATGTTATCAATTTGAAAAACTTGTTCTTTGCAACTTTTAGAAATTGCCATTAATATATCTGTAATTCGATTTCTTTGTGATTTAAACAACTAAAATGAACATTTAGCATGTTACAGATATTCTGAGGAACAAGTACCTTTATCTTTTACATGTTCAAACTGATGGCATTCGTTAATTAGTCTTTGAAATTCTACATTTGAATTATAGGAAGACATTGGATACCATAAATGGTCAAGAGCACACATGCGAACTAACAGATTTTCAGTCATGACGTCGAACATCGTCGAATCAGTAAATTCAATTACAAAACAAGTGAAGCACTGTCCAATTGACTATTTATTCGAATCATTGCGGCATACAATACAAACATGGTTTTCCAAGAACAGGGATAAAGCACAGGGAACGTTCACATGCCTCGCATCAAAATCGGAAGAATTGATGAGGATAAACTCAAAGCACTCGTTAAAGTTGAAGGTACATACCCATTGCTAGTCCAAGAACAGTGATAAGACAGTGGAATAGTTTGTCAATTCTCTGGAAGTTTCCCTTTCTTTTTTATTCTTTAGAACTCATCAATTATCTATAATTTAAATTGTGATTCAGAATCTGTGCCTTTTATAAGAGTGGAATAGTCTCTCCGAATAGGATGTTCAATGCGAGATATTGTTGGTTGAATTTGTATCTACGAGATAGTGTAGAAGATGAAAAATATGATAGGAAGAAGATAGAATAAGATCTGTGAATACATTAATGCCTACTGCCTAGTGTCTCATAAACCCATGTGCCAAAATAGCTCTAGGATGCTGTAAAATGTTCCTAAACCTGTTTGCCATTTTATGCTAGTGAGTATTTTACATATCTTGAGAGGTGTTATAATCATTTTGAGGCTCGTAAGACTGTCAATAAAGCATTTGTGACTTGATGTGTTTCAGGAAGTTGAAGGTACATACCCAAAACTAATCTATATTAGAAGCCTGGTGTTTTTTTTATAGTGTGATATAATCAACATGTTTTCCGATATATGCCCAACTTCCTTGATTTATCAATGAACAATGTGAAACATCAATATTATTTCTCTGCCATGTAAATTGATCGTAAATATTTCGAATTATGCCACTCATTTAACGCAATTTATTTATTGTTTGACTGGTGGAGTGTCTTTTAGTATTATCCTAACGTCATATTTGTGTCTTAGGTATCTGCATCAAATGATTTCTTGTATCAAGTTTCGGATGGTATCAGGCAACATGTTGTTGATTTGAGATTGATGACTTGTACTTGCTGTCATTTCCAGTTGGACGGGATTCCATGTCAACACGCATTAGCTGTAAATGGTGATAGATGTAAACAACCGTACAATTATTGTTCAAGATACCACACTAAAGATTTTTATGTGAAATCTTATGCTGGTTACATCATTCCACTCGGAGATCGATCCCAATGGAAAGTAGATAATTATAATTCCTATGATGATATTTTGCCTCCTATATCGAAGAGGCAACCAGGCAGGCCAAAGAAGGCGAGGAGAAGGTTAAGGTTGGAGTTGTTAAAATCAACTTGGTGTGGAAGGTGCATGGGTAGAGGTCACAATAGGAGAACATGCAAGAATCCCCAACCTCTTATTGGTGTACGAAAACGAAAACGAGGATCAGAATACTAGATGATTATTAATTCTATATCCGTCTCGATCGGGATGACGAATTGCTATGTCCGTGTATTGATTAAAACCTATGCTTCATGTATTGTTATAAGTTTTTTGGACAGGTTGTTCATGTTCTCAATAATATTAAGAATATTTGGATTAAATGCATTGTTATGCGTATTGTGAGTTGAATCCTAATAAATATTGATGTAAGCACATAACAGCTGGTGTGGAAGAACAATGTATGTGACGTTTCACTAGATGGTGATTGTGTCACTACTGGTGTCAGATGGCTGCTGGTGTACATGTAATCTATGTCTTGTATAGACGTGGTCCTTTCCTCATTGATCTACATAATGGCTGAATATGTGGTTTAACTGACCAATTACCCAGATCATGTGGACGCACAGTAGGGAGAACAGATATTCCAGACTGCAATATATTGTCCAGGCCTGAGACGATACATCAGTTGACCTAAAACTTCATTAAAATTCAATTTATTCCCTGTCCATTTACATCAAGTTGTTTGAATACTCTCACTTGATAACCATGAAGTCACAGATTTCTTGAACTAGAATATCCTATCCAAATCAGCAATTCCAAACTGGAATACTCCCATTAAGCTGGTTAAAACCTAGATCTGAATACTTATCTGTCTAAGTGGAGTGATCATCTGCCCGGTATACGCTGAACTAGTAGATGGAACCGAACTTGAATGTTCTAAGATAAACAATTACATAAAAATACTTTCACGCATTATAAACTCCTTGAATAGATGGCATTATTATTTATAAAAAAAATGTAATTTCCAAACAACACAAAAAGACATCATGAAGTACGAAATCAAAATTACTATTTCAACATGAAAGACATCAAAGATAATATCCCAACCTACCATTATTAAAGTTCTAGACCTACTTGACAGAAAATGTGAAAATAAATTCAACCATAGACACCACAATTTCAACTACGTACTCAAAAGAAAATAAGTTACAACTAAAGGCAATCACTCGTTAAGCACAATCCCCTTCAGTTTTCCCTACATCCTGGGCAAGTTCGATATCTGTGTCATAGCCTTCGATAAGCTTCTCGCATCCATGCTTATATAGTTGAGCAGCCAAGTATGACCTTGAAACGTTTGGCTCGAAATTTTCTGACATAGACAATATCTTCTGATGTATTATATGTTTGGCATATTTTATCACGTAAACACCACAATCGTGTCTGTAAAAAAAAAAAAATTAGTATGTCCATTTTTGAAACAAGAAACTGAGGTACACAATTCTGATTTGTATCCTATATCGCTATATCTGAAAATACTTCATAGATTACTTGATATTCAGACTTACCCGTGCTCGTCTTGTGGGATATTACTTGCAATCTTCACTGCAAGTGGTTCAACGCGCTCAAACACATCCACGATGTTGGGCTGCCGGTCCTTGATATTTACCATGAGACAAGGGAGAATGTAAGCAAATGCCTCCACATCGGCTACAACCATCCGATCCCTGACTGTTAATCTGCTTGAGTTGTACACATAAAGAGCCCTTTCCTTGATGTCAAAGTGCCCAAGTATCCAATGTGCTTTCTTGTCCATCATGATAGGGATGAGTATGTGTTCAACATCAGTCCAGCATGTGTTACAATGCATGTAATCCCCGTTTGCATACTCAACCAGAGATTTGAATTTTGCAATCTCTTGTATGTCATTCTTGCATGTCTTGTAAGTAGATCGGACCATTGAGCCGAAGAATGAATCAGTTGTGGTACATTTGAATGACTTTATATTACTGAATTTAGCAACTTTCGGAAGTAATAGAAACAAACATTCACGTGTTGCAAAAGGAAGAACATAGTTGTCCAGGTAATCGTAAAAATCTAATTAAAATCTCAAATAAATAACTTTTTTATACTAATCACATATGTACCGAATCCCTGAGGTATACATTAGGATGACACAACTCGTGCCACCAAGTCTTTGATTCAACCGTGTACGGCCCGAACTGAAATGGTGGGCTTATATTATCCTTTTTTAGTGGGAACTTGGATTTTCTGTAAATTGAAATGTAATGAAAAATTAGTGAATTGTTTACAAATTCAATTAGTGCATATACATGGGAAGGATAAGATTGGGGATTACATGTGTTCGGCCCTATATCCGTCGTTGAACCATTCATAGAAAATCTCAACATCATCGTCATTTGGCGGTTCCATTTCCTCATTAAAGGCGTTCATGTTGTACATAGTTTCATCAAGATTACCCATGGCGTTGTCAATAACACAAGTTCTAGATAGCGATAAGGAACTATTCTGTACATATCATGACACATTACATAAATTATTTCACCATGTGGAGTACATTAAAACAATAAAGTTGTAGACAAGTAGCATGTTGGCATTGCTGACGTATTTACCTTAGTAGGGAATAGTTCCTGAACAAGCACATCTTTGCCAAATTCATCACTCACGTGCAAACGTGACAGACGTGTCTGGCTACCATCAACCTTAAAAAGATAGATTTCGTGTGTTAACAATATTAAAATTCTAAACATAATATACAATTTCATATTTTAAGAAGTATGGGCTGTGAAACCTAATTTACAGAATTCAATTTCTGTGATAGAAATGAAATAAAAAACTGAAGTAGAAATCTTAGATACCTGATTTGCAGAATTCAATTTCGTTGATGATAAGTGTGGAAAAACACACTTATTCGGCACTTTTCTGTATTTAATTGGAAATGAAATTGAGTTTATTTCTAAGCATAATTATGTAATTTTCATGTTTGCAGGCTAAAACCCCGATAAGAAGAAGAACGGAGCGAAAAAGGATGAAAATGGACTAAAAGTGAACAAAATGGTGAAGTNGCTAAAACCCCGATTGGAAGAAGAACGAGGCGAAAAAGGAAGAAAATGGACTAAAAATGGACAAAAAGCTGAAGTTGGGGACTGAAATGCACAAGCCCAAAAGTTGGAGGACTTGAAGTGCAATGTATAAAGGGCCTAACTGAAATGAAGGTCAAAAGTCAAGGACCAAATTGTACTAAATCAAAGTTGAGGGACCATTTTGCCACTTTCTAAAATTTGGGGACCTTTGTTGCAAATTTTGCTAGATATTTACATGACTTAAAGGCTAAGCAACAAACAAAATATCCTATCCTATATACCACTTGGCTGGCACCTTTTTTTTGGTAGATAAGAATAGTATTAGTTTTATTTTTTTAGTATTAGTTTTGTTTAGTTTTAGTTTAGGTTTTCTTTCTTTTTCTCTCTAGGTTTTCTTCTTTCTTTTCCTTTCTATTCTTTTCTCTTTCTTTTATTTTGGTGTTCTTGGATCATTTTGGAGGTGAAAATGAAGAGCACAAAGGAGGAGATACCTAAGGAATTGGCAAAACTTTGGAGAAAGCAAGTTCAAGTTTGATCTTCAAGGGTTTATTCTAAATCTTTGGTTTTTCCTATTTTATTTGCCAAAAAAAATTGTAATGAATATGTTTATATATCTCCTTTGTTATTATCTATATAAAATGAGCTAATTATTGTTGTGTTGGAATTTATGAATTGAACTTAACCTAGTTGTTTCATTGATTATCGATATATCTACATGTTTAGTGATAAATGCAGTTGTTATCAAAATCATAGTGTATCGATCATCATGTTTAAGATGATTTCATTTTTGTGACGACAAGATAAAATTATTAGGTTTTATATCATTTTTGGTGACGCTTAAATGATTGTAATTAATTTTAATGTGATTGTTGCAAGATAGTTGCATTTAATAGACCAATGTGTTCGATTCATCTAATTGACAACTAGATGAAATTATTAGGTAATTATGTGTGACTGTTGAACAATGATTACATTAATTAGACCGAAATGATTGATGCCTCGGATTTGTATTAGTATATCTTTTGCGCGTTTAGGTGATATAGAAATATACACCTACTCTGAGTGACCCGTTGAGCATTTTCACAAAAATTCATGCAATTGGTTAACTTTGTATCGACATAGAAATATGTGGTATGAATTGATTAATTAGGGTTAATATGCGCTCGAAAGAGGGTATTAGCTTCGTTGACGTAGCACTCTTTATTATCTCATCCACCTGAATGAGATCCTCCTCGGTATAGTTTATGTCGTATGTTTCATCAGTTTGTATTGAGTCATTAATAACAACAGTTAAGCATTTGGATGAGGCGGGATTGCTGTCATCGTGGGGTGTATCGCTATGATTTTGTGATGGTTGTTTAATTTTCTTGCTAACCATTCCGTCAATGGTCGGAGTAACTGATTTCTCCTGATTGTTGCTATTCTAGAGAATAATATATACATGAATTAAGAATTGAAGATTATGTGGGAGAATATTAACTAAATGTGATGATAATGAATATTACCTTATTGTCAGTTGTCTGTGCTTCATTTGATTGATCGACAATATGGTCATGTTTATCTTTATCATGCGGGGAATGTTTCTTTGCCCTTACAAACATTGTCAGGAGCGCCGTGTAGTTGGTTTCCACACTTTGTTCGATGCGATTGACATCTACCTTTAGTTCATTTTGGGAATCTATAATCTAAGCTTGTGATGCACGAATCTCGACCATTTGATTCATTAGATGCTCCAGGACTGGGATTATGGGTGGCTACGAGTAATATGTTCATATTTTGAGAAGTACAGTGAGAATGTGTATGTAAACATAAATGTAAAAAATAGGGCTTGGAATAAAATAAACAAACCTCTCCCATTTTCGATGTGTCTTGAGCCACCTGGTGCCTGTTTGTCATGAACGATGTTGGGTTAGAAGAGCTTGCGTGATTGTGGTCTTTTGCCATGTGAACTGGATCATTCACAAGGTCAGCCCCTGCAGCAATTGTCGATGGTATCTAATGCGCTCTCTTTGTGGTAACCCCCTGGTAATAAGTAGCCATCTTTTCCTCGTCGTTAGGTTGGATCATCACAACTTCAACCTGGGGGAAAAATAGTATTCAATAGTATATCTATCATACCATATGTCATTTTTCGAAGATAGATAATTCAGAATTGAAAATAAGCATATCTTCTTAAAAATATTTTGAAACGAGTGCATGTTAATGTATTTACTACCTCACCCACATTAAATAGAATCCTATCAAGGTATGCATCATATGTGCGTGAATCATCGGTGCTCCAATTTAGAATGCGGGGGGACTTGCGGCCAACTCTTGTACAAACTTTCCCAACCAATGATGGAATGGACTCGTATATCCATATCTGAAATGCAAGAGGGAAACCATGAAGTCTGTATGACATTATTCCCTTGGGATCATCGAGCAATGGGTTCGTCTTGGCAAGTGCGAGCTTCAGGTACATGTATGTAATTTGAAACAATTCTTTTCCCCATGGATATGTATCCATGTGTGGTGATTCGACGATCCGAAAATATTCATGTGGCACAACGTTTGCACTCGTGGTAATGTACATGAAGCTCGAAATCAGGTATACAGCACCAAGCTTCACAACGTCTTCGTCCGAAGTTGAGGCTGGCAGATTGGTAAATGTAGATTCAACGTCTTTCCTGTACATGTTCTTTTTGTGTTTGAAGAACAAATGTTTAATTCCGCTATGTCCAATTTTGAACACGTTGGTGTTATCATCACCATGGCACTTCAACCCGCTTGTGAGAGCGAAATCCTCAACAAAAAATTTTAGATGTTTACCAGCAACCTTAAACCACATCTCATCATGAGTAGATTGTCGCACTTCCATCAATAAAAACTTGTGAATAACCTGATGTTGTAGGCGCATCTCTCTTATTTCGAGGAAGTGTCCGAAGCATGTTCGTTTGAGTAGTTCCTTTTGAGCTGCATTCATTTTGCTATTCAGTTTTGAAATAACGTTCTTCTTGAATAACACATTAATGCTTCCACCAAATCTGTTCTCCTTTGGGATGTAGAATTCTGATACCTGCTACAAAAAATTGGATATAGACGTAAATGTATAATTTCAAATATATATTCTCAACGGTAGTCAACAAAAATGACAAAGCAACAACTTCACAATCCTTTAATGTAATTGTGTAGGAATTCAAAATTCCAATTCATTGTCCCACCTTCAGAGAGTCCAAGACTGATTCAGCGTAAACTTCCAGCATCCTATACTATATGTAGTTATAATTCAATTAAAATAATATTCTTTATTCCATGATTTAATTAATTATCATCTGTGGTAATATTGAAAGGTACTAAGACAAAATATATACCCAACATATATGATAATTTCCTTAGTCGCATCTCACATGAATTCACAAACTATCTGACTCAACACGAACAAACTACATCAACTAATGCATCATACGAAATTTTCTAAAACAGTTAATAAAAAATCACTAACAAAAGTTCAATTATTTTTCCCAAATGATGAAGTGTTCCATCAAATCAGGTGAACTTAATAATATGTGAATACTGCAAGGAATAAATAAACGCATAAACAACGACCACAATAAACTTTGATGTTTAAATTTGATTTAATTATTATAACTAAAACATTTTAATTATAAGCCATTTGTGGAATATAGCAGTAACATGCCTGAGATATATGTAGAGGAACGGTCATCTTCTTCTTTGAGCTTGAGTCAATTGCTACAATCTTCATCTGCCTTTTGTGCCTCTTGTCCATATGAGAATTCTCGAAGCTTGATTCGATATCTACAGTCTCCATTTTCCTTTTGAAATCGTTTTTGATATGTGACTTCATCTTGACATCAACTGCAGTGTTGTACGAGCTTCGAACATTGTTGAGTTCGTCCACCTCGTCCTTTGAGTCTGACAGAACGGTTATTGAACGCGTAATGCGTCTCGAAGGGGAGTACGTTGAGGGGGAGTATGTATAATCTCCTGTTGGTCGTATAGTTTCCTTGGGTTTTGACAGAACGCTCGACTGGTTAATCCATACAGAACCTGGTGTTGGTGTTGGACTATGTGTATTAACAGTACCCATTGACAAAAGGCGAGCAGCTTTCGTTGCAAATGGGGATTCTTCTTCGGTGTTCTTCTTCTTGTTGGAACACATCACCGGACGAGAACTTGGTGGTGTCATCTTCAATATCTACTTTCGCCAAGATGACTAGTCGTATAAGATCTGTTTGATTTGTGATTTTGAATGATGGATGTATCTTTCTCTGTTAGGTTATATATTGCTTAGAAGAATCCGAAAATGCCGAGAATCAAGTTTGCAAAGATGATTCTTGGGGTAGAAATTATGGTTTGCAGAGAAGATTACGGGTTCTGATTCTTGAGCATTTTTCCCAATATCTATAATGATATGACAATAGAAACGAGATTAATGAAGGAAATTTGGGGATTGTTTATGAGGCGTGTAAGAAGGATTTATTCCCGCCATTGAATGCATTAACAGAGTGATTAAGTCCACCTGTGATTGAATTAATTGAGGGAATGAGTGTGTATTTTTTGGTTTTCGATTATACTCTCAAAATTGTAGTATATTTGATTAAAAAATTGTGTTAATGTAAAAATGGAATTTTTATTCCACAAAAAGAAAATCAATTTCATTTTTGTGAAAAAAAAAAATAAAAATCAATTTCCTTAAAACACCACACAGGACAACAGAAAATTTACTCCTTCACTCACCTGAACGATCTCCGGAGCACCCACGGAAAATGACGGAATTTCTCGATTTAGAATTCCAGGACTCCGTCCGAATGCCATGGAATGTTCTCCCGGGTACGAAATCGGACGCGGCGAACTGCGTAATTCCGATCTCCGCCATCTACACTCCCTTGAAACCTCTGCCCTCCACCTGCCCGCTCCTTCCCTACTCCCCGCTTCGCTGCCGTAACTGCCGATCCGTTATCAGCCCTTTCGCGATTGTGGATTTCTCCTCCGTCAATAAGATCTGGATCTGTAGCTTCTGCCTCCAGCGTAACTACTTCCCCCCGCATTACCAGTCGATATCCGACCAGGAATTGCCTGGGGAGCTCTTCCCGCAGCACACCACGATTGAGTATGAGACAATGGCTACGAATGAGAAGCCGCAACTTGGGAGTAATAATGTTTTTTTGTTTGTGGTGGATACTTGTGTTATTGAGGAGGAACTAGGTTTTTTAAAATCCGCTTTGCTACAGGTGCAGCTGAATTTTTAATTTTCTATTAACGGACTTTGAGGAATAATATAACTCATTAATTGATGTTATAAATTTTTCAAGAATGTCGATATTTCTCCGTGTTAATTTCTTGTATTTATGTATATTACATATTTATTAATGATAATTATACATGATGGATAGATTTCAATATTCTTGAAATGGAATCAATAGCTCAAAGGTCTTGAGGATTGTTTTGGTGTTTCAAGGACTTGAAATGGTATTTTAGTTACATTTTTAAATAACATCTTCTAAAAGATTATTTGCTATTGGCGAGGATAACTGTGGATGATTGTCTACTTCACTTAAATGTTAATGTGAGCACCTTATCTGATAGTTTAAACCTTTAGCGAGGAGATAATCTTCCTAATACACTTCAGGAGTGTGAATTTGTTGAAGATATATAACTTAATGCATAATCGAATTTCTTCTCTCGAATTCTTCAAGTTTTTAGACGAGGCAATGCTACTACATGATATTAGAGTAGGTATATGGTCTTGAGTTCAAAATTCATTGAGTTCAAAATTCATTGCTATGTAACATTTCTAATAGAAAAAATGAATTTGGTTTCTGGGGGCGTATTGGAGATATATAGATAAATAAATAGATTTGTCTCTCGATTAAAACCTTAAGTTCTAGATGCATGCATATACTTTGAAGAACTTTTTCGATTATTTCAATGTCGACAACTTATACATTGTTTCCTAAGAGAAGGGGAAGACAAAAAAGAAGCTTGGTTTTTTAAATTTTAAAAGCCCAGCTCATAATTTTACATAATATTGGCATAACATTTGACTATATGCTTCTACAATTCCTTGTTCTATTTTCATTTTTTTTTTTGAATGCCCATTTCATAATTCTACATATTATTGTGGGGATAACATTCGACTGTATGCTTACACAATTAGTCTATGTTGAGATAATACTTTCTGTTCAACTTCAATGTATCACTGTTTAAATGATGATGATCTTATCCTCATGTGCAGGTGTTGGGAATGGTACCTGAGAACTGTTTGATTGGGTTGATTACTTTTGGGACATATATACAAGTTCATGAGCTGGGATTTGCACAGATTCCCAAAGTGCATGTGTTCAAGGGGTCAAAGGAGGTGACTAAAGATCAGGTGTTAGACCAGATGGGCTTCTTTGCAAAAAAGCCAAGGCCAAGCACAGGCATTATTGCTGGAGTAAGAGATGGGCTTTCGCAGGAAAGTATTGCAAGATTCCTTTTGCCTGCATCTGATTGCGAGTTTGTTCTCAATTCGGTAGGTTCATAAGCATGCGATATCTGTACATTTATGTTTGTTGAAAAAATGATGTTTTGTGAAGGCATGGAAGCGTGGTGTATGAGGATTCTGGCACATCTTTCTGTCCTTGACTTGTCTTATCGTCTGTTAATTAAAGATGGCTTTAGCAAATGCTTTATTTGTACCATATGTACTAAAATGTGCAGTATGGGTACTGTTTTTTAGTGTATCGTTTTTGTCTTTGTTATATTGCCAATATCTATATTTCATAAGTAGATAAATTGGAATTTTCAGCTCTTGATGTTTTCATTTGTGGTTCACCCCTGTTGACAAGATATTAGAGGAGCTTCAGAAAGATCCTTGGCCGGTGCCATCAGATCAACGGGCTGCTAGGTGTACAGGTACAGCATTGAGTGTGGCTTCTCATTTGTTGGGCATATGTGTACCTGGTTATGGAGCCAGAATTATGGCATTTCTAGGCGGGCCATCAACGGAAGGGCCAGGCGCTGTAAGTAAATTTGTTTACATTGAAATAATAATAGCACGTGAAGCTGACAAAGTGCTGCAGTTGTGTATTTTTCTAATCTTAATGGCTTAGTAAAAAGGGAAAGATACATTTATTTGGGGGCAGAAGGATAAAAACTTAAGTTTGACAATTATGTGCTCTAGTACTTCCAGAAAAGTTATTTTCAGATTTGCTTTGTTATTAAAATTCTATTATAGCGAAAGTTCCCCAACCTTTGTACGGGCAAATACTGTGTAGACCATATGCATTGTCGTATTTAGTGTTAGTCTGCATAGCATCAAGAAGTTTAGGAGCGGGGATAAAATATATTGTAGATAAAGAACCCAGCTTGTTCAGTGACTTTTTCTTATCCCATCTACTATTGAAAAATCCTCTTTCCCAATGAATTCCACTATAATACTCTACAAAGGTGTCTTTTACTCTTCATTCTCCTGAGCACTAGATTTGTTCTTTTTGGTTTTATTTCATTATTCATATTTGTAATTATATTTGCAGATTGTGTCCAAAAATCTGTCTGAACCTATGCGTTCTCACAAGGATCTGGACAAAGATTCTGTACCTCATTATCACAAAGCTGTAAAGTTCTATGGAGAACTTTCAAAGCAGCTTGTTCATCAGGGACATGTGCTAGATGTTTTTGCTTGCGCACTTGATCAGGTATTGATGTCCTTTGTTATGAGAAATAAATGATTTGATTTGAGGTCAAGGTTCTATGCCCTTTCTGTTATGTTACAAATTGAACCTATTTGGAACTTTTGAAATTATGTGCTTGCTTGATCGATCTTGAGGTTTTAGTTGCAGTATTTTTCATCTCACAGCAATTCTGTACTATTGGTTCTGTTTATCTAATTTTCTTTATTGACTGGTATCTTACACTAGATTTTGTTTCCCTGGAAAAGCTAGTTAAAATGGAGGAGAGACGGAAAAACAAAAGAATTTATACAGTATAGTTGGCTTGTGTAAATGCTTAGAAAGGTTGTCCCTATATTTTCCTTACAAAGCTGTAGACAATGAATAACATAATTTGTGCAACTAGGAAAGGGAAATTTGTAGTCACTGTTCCCATTCATTGGGGCGATTGCTAATTGGTTCCTCATTCTAATTTATTTGACGAAGAGTTCCCTCGCTTCGGTTTTCAGGGCAAAGAGTGAAACAGTTCCTTTCAAGAGGTTCCGTGTTAAACAAGAGTCGATTTCAGGGAGAAGACATTTTTGCCCTCACAACCAAATGCTTACTTTCAATTAATTACAAAATAAATAGAAAAAGAAAAGATTAATGTTCTTCTTGCTCCACTTCGCCCCCACCACCAGTACCCACTTGACTACTTCTCCTACTATCTAGTCTATATCAGAGAATATTCACGGATATTCACTATTTATTTAATTATTAGTTTCCATTTATAACCCGTAGAGAATTAGGGATTTAATTGATTGTATAATATAAAATCTTTCCTTGTATATATTTGTAAGATTATATATATTAAAGGCAATACATACCGAAAGATTATTGAGCAAATTGTTATGGTGTTAGAGCCCTAAAATTACTTACTCGTACGTGTGATTTATAGTGGTGGCTCGCGGTTCATAGTATTCGGAGGTCGACATCTCAGGCGGTTTTCTGGCAGGCTGTTGTCGGTGTCTATTTCGAATTTCCAGGCTAATCGAGCATTGAGTCTGGGTCGGAGCATTAGTTCAAGTTTTTAGTGTCCTGTGGTAGGCAGTTTCAGTGTCTTCTTCTTCTTCTTCAATCCAGCGTCAATTTCTCGTTTCTTTGTCTTCTCGTATGTGTTGGTCGGAGCATTGGTTCAAGTTTCCGTCATGGGCAGTCTCGGTGTTGTCTTCTTAAATCCAGTGTCGACTTCCTTCTTTCCGTCTGCGTCGACGGTGTATGTGTTAATTTTGGGCCAAAATTGTGTTTTTTTGTTGTGGGCCAAATTGAATCTATTGGGCAGTGGGTTGGGAAATTTAATTATTAATTGTTGGGCAAATTTGCTGGGCTTGTGCAATTTAAATTATTAATTGTTGGGCCAATTTGTTGGGCTTGGGCAATTTAAATTCTTAATTGTCTTTTTGTTGGGGTTATTTTGTTTGGGCTTGGGTAGCATTGGGTTGGTGAGCTGTGATCAATTTATTTTTGGCGGCCTCTATACTATTTTCACCATGTCAATTGAGAAGACTGACTCCGTTTGTATTCGTTTTAATGAGAAGAACTGCTCGTCATGGACATTTCATTTTCAGTTGTTGATTGAAGGGAAAGGAGATCTATGGTGACATATTGATGGAAGCATTCCGCCTCCTGATCAAGAGACAGAAAAAGAGAAGTATCTTGCCTGAAAAACCAAGGATTCCCAAATTATGGCCTGGATTATCGGTACTGTTGAGGTTAATATTGTTCTTAATCTCAGAACTTATGAGTAAGCTCGTTCTATGTGGGAATATTTAAAGAAAATTTATACTCAAAATAACAATGCTCGGCGACTCCAGTTGGAGTTTGAATTGACAATTTTTACTTAGGAATTTCCTTCCATTGAAGAACATTATTCTGAATTTTCTAATCTTTGAGCTTAATATACAGATATCATTTGTGCATTGATTTCACCAGAAAGTTTGGAAGATGTACAAGCTGTACACGATGGCACTAAGAGGGATCAATTTCTTATGAAATTGAGAATTGAATTTGAAACGGTATGGTCCAGTCTTATGAATCGCGAGTCCATTCCAACACTGGATAATTGTTTGGGTGAATTACTAAGGGAGGAACGTCTTATAACTCGTAACTCTTTGGAACAACATCAAACTTCCGCAGCACCAATTCCTGTTGCATATGTGGCTCAAGGAAAATTTAAATATCGGGATATGTCTAGTGTGCAGTGTTATAGCTGTAAGGGGTTTCGTCACATGGCTCTTTAGTGTCCTCGGAAAGTTTGCAATTCTTACAAGAAACCATGCCATGTTATTAAAGAGTGTCCTACTCGTCCTACACGCAAGATTGGAGCAAGTTATGCTGCTGCTGCTACTTTAACCTCTAGTTCTGCTCCGCCATCTGCTACCAATCGCATTCTAGCTTCCCCTAGTTCTTCTCAAACTCCCTTCGCTCCTGCGATGATTCAACAAATGGTTGTCTCTGTGTTGTCTGCCTTAGGTATCTCAGGTAATCCACCAACTGCTCGTTCTTCTTGGTTATTAGACTCGGGTGCTTCTAATCGTATGACTCGTGATCCTCAGTTGCTTAGTAATCTTAGACCATATAATGGGCCTCTCAAAATACACACACTGCGGATGGTAACACACTTACTAGCTTAGTTGTGGGTGATATATCACCAGATTTGGCTAATGTTTTAGTATCTCCTAATTTATCTACTAATCTTCTATCTGTTGGCCAACTTGTTTATAACGATTGCACTGTATCTTTCTCTGCATCTGGTTGTCATGTGCAGGATCAGGTGTCCGGGAGGATGATCATGAGGGGGCCTAAGGAGGGACGTCTCTTTCCTGTTTCACCGAAGCCCGTTTCGTCTTTTCCCATTTTTTGTAATTCTGCTACTTTAGAGATCTTTGATTGGCATAAGAAATTGGGACATCCTAATTCCAATGTGTTACAACATTTGTTCAATTTTGGTTTGCTTGGAATAAAAATTCTGCTTTGGTTTCCTCTTCATCATTTGATTGTGCTTCATGTAAACTTGCTAAAAGTAAAGTTTTGCCATTCCCATCTCAAGGTTCTCATGTTTTGCATATTTTCGATATTGTACATAGTGATGTATGGGGTATTGCACTTGTGGTGTCTCATGCTCATTATAAATACTTTGTTACGTTTATCGATGATTATAGTCGATTTACATGAGTTTATTTTCTTCGTGCAAAGAGTGAGGTTTTTTCGGTCTTTCGGGCTTTTCTTACTCTTATTGAAAATCAATTTTCCTCCTCAATCAAAATCTTACGATCTGATTCTGGAGGTGAATATATGTCAAATGCGTTTCAATCTTTTTTACAAACCAAAGGTATTGTCTCTGAGCGATCTTATCCATCCACTCCTCATTAAAACGGGGTAGCAGAACACAAAAAACGTCACCTTCTTGATATGGTTCGAGCTCTTCTGATTGAATCTTCCGTTCTATCTCATTTTTGGTGTGAAGCATTATCTACTGCTGTGCATCTCATAAATCGGTTACCTTCTCCCACCCTTTATCATGTTTCTCCATTTTATAAGCTCTTTGGTCATCATCCCACATATTCCCATCTGCGCCCTTTTGGATGTATGTGTTTTGTTCACTTACAATCTCATGAAAGGACAAAACTCACCTCTCAATCTATCAAGTGTGCATTTTTAGGATATGGTGGAACCCAAAAAGGGTATATCTGTTATGACCCTACAACACAACGAATCCATATTTCTCGTAATGTTATTTTCTTTGAAAAACAACTCTTCTTTCTTTCAGCAGCTGTGGTTTCTCCCATGTTTTCTGTCTTACCTAATTTTCCTATAGACTTCTCTCGATACAAGCCAGAGAGTGTTTACACTCACAGGGATGTTGCACCTGCCACTGGTTCCGAACTTCATTCTCATATGACTACCCTCCCACGCCTCTCCGATCCTCCACCAGCGACATCAGGTCCTTCACCGGATGATCTGCCGCCTCCTGTCCCTTTTCGTCGTAGTTCTCGTGTTCCTCGACCACCAAATATGTATGGTTTTTCCTCCCATAGTTCTATGTCTGCTACACTTGCTTCGGTTTCCATTCCTTCCTCCTACAGATAGGCTATGAAACAAGAGTGTTGGCGACATGCAATGCAAGCAGAACTTGAGGATCTTGAGGCAAATCGGACTTGGGATGTCGTGCCATGTCCGCCGACTGTGAAGCCCATTGGGAGTAAATGGGTATATTCTGTCAAACTTCGTTTCCATGGTTCTCTTGAGCGCTATAAGGCTCGACTGGTTGCTTTAGGTAATCGCCAAGAGTAAGGAATCGACTATGATGAGACTTTTGCTCCGGTAGCTAAAATGACCACTGTACGCTCGACTGGTATATTCTGTCAAACTTCGTTCCAATGGTTCTTTTATCCCTTACTGCTTCCATGTCATGGTCTTTACATCAAATGGATGTGAAGAATGCGTTTCTCCACGGAGATCTCAAGGAAGATATTTATATGAAACTTCCATCTGGTATGCCTCTTCCCTCCGCGGATTCTGTTTGCAAGCTAAAACGTTCTTTGTATGGTCTAAAGTAGGCTCCTAGAGCATGGTTTGACAAGTTCCGCCGCACCCTTTTGGATTTTTCCTTTACTCAGAGTCAGTATGATGCATCCCTGTTTCTTCACAAGAGTATAAATGGGACCGTTTGTTTGTTGGTATATGTAGATGATATTATTATTTCTGGTGCTAATCACAAGCTTATCCAGAAACTTCAGCAGCATCTTCACTCGGTCTGGGTCATCTCACTTATTTCTTTGGATTACAAGTTCATACAACACCACATGGTATCTTCTTGAATCAACGTAAGTATGTTCAAGACTTGATTGGTTTGGCTAATTTATTTGACGCCTCTACCGTTGATACTCCGTTGGAGCTTAATGTTAAATATCGTAAGAATGAAGGCGAAATTCTTTTGGACCCTACTCTATATTGGAGGTTGGTAGAAAGTCTTCTCTATCTCACTA